CACAGAAAGTACTAATCAATAATAACTAAATCACTTAGGCATAAAGCTCACAGATTCCCCAAAGACAGAATAACCTCAACACTGTAGTTATGACTACCTGAGAAGTGGATACAGCTTTTCCGAGTGTCACCTAAAAACAGCTAAAGATCACAAAGTCTCCTGATAAAAACCAAAATGCTTGCAGATGAGCAGTCTGGGTAGACCAGGGGAAAAAAGCTCCACTCAGACAAACCACCTACCGTGAGGCTCACAAGGGAATGAAGGATACAGCACAGTGGCAAGACCAAGCTAAGCCAATTTCCAGCCCTTTAGTTTCCCCTCTCCAAATACTTCTTTTTTTTTTTTAGTTGGAGTCTCACTCTGTCACCAGGCTGGAGTGCAATGGCAATGATCTCAGCTCACTGCAACCTCTGCCTCTCAGGTTCAAATGATTCTCCTGCCTCAGCCTCCCAAGTAGCTGGGACTACAGGCACGCACCACCATGGCCAGCTAATTTTTGTATTTTTAGTAGAGACGGGGTTTCACCATGTTGGCCAGGATAGTGTCAATCTCTTGACCTTGTGATCTGCCTGCCCCAGCCTCCCAAAATGCTGGGATTGTAAATGTGAGCCACCGCGCCCGCCCCCTCTCCAAATTCTTATTCCTATTACCTACAAGATCCCTTTCAAAGTTAAGAAAATGGATAAAATGATTATTTGCTTTTTGTCAAAACAAAATCTTTGCCCAAAGATTAAGGCAATGTCGGGTAGGTATGTGGGGAGGCAGCAAGACTGTAACCTTGAACTTGACTGATAGCAGACACTGTCACCCTGCTTGCCAAGTGTCGTGCAAGGATGAGATTAGAGAAACACAAAGAATCGTGGATATGCTGCTGAAGCCGAGGCATTTTGTGGGCTTCTCAAACGAGCAGGAATACCCTCCCGGAGTAAAATGTAGTCAATACCTTTGCTTAAAGAACCATTTGGAGGCCAGAAGTAATGGCTCACTTCTGTAATCCCAGCACTTTGGGAGGCTGAGGTGGGCAGATCACCTGAGGTCAGGACTCACCTGGCCAACATGGTGAAACGCTGTCTCTACTGAAAATACAAAAATAAATTAGCCGGGCATGATGGTGTGCACCTGTAATCCCGGATACTCAGGAGGCTGAGGCAGGAATCACTTGAATCTAGGAGGCAGAGGTTGCAGTGAGCCAAGTTCAGGCCACTGCAATCCAGCCTGGGCAACCGAGCAAGACTCTGTCTCAAAAAAAAAAAAAAAAAAAAAAAAAACTATTTGGAAAAGTACTTCTTCCCAAGACCTAAAAGATGGCCTTATTTAACTTGGAACAGTTCATTCCTTTTATTTTAAATAGAAGAGCATTTTCTTTCTCATAAGCAGTAGTATGTCTCCATTTTTAAGTAGTTTTAGGCTGGGCACACTGGCTCATGCCTGTAATCCCAGCACTTTGGGAGGCAAAAATTAGCCAGCTGTCATGGTGCACGCCTGTAGTCCCAGCAACCCAGGAGGCTGAGGTGGGAGCCTTGCTTGAGCCCATGAAGCAGAGGTTGTAGTGAGCCAAGACCCACCACTGCATTCCAGCCAGGGTGATAGAGCCAGACCATGTCTCAAAAAAAATTTTTAAAGTAGTTTTAGGGGGCAAAAAACTGGAATCCCTTTTCTGACCTGGCTAAAGCTTCCTTCATCAATGCATGCAATTTTTTTTTCTTTCTTTTTGAGATGGAGTCTCACTTTGTCACCCAGAATGTAGTGCAACGGCACTCACAGCAACCTCCATATCCCAGGCCTAAGTGATTCTCCTGCCTCAGCCTCCCAGGTAGCTGGGATTATAGGCACCCGTCACAATGCCGTTTTGCGTTTTTAGCAGAAACAGAGTTTCACCATGTTGGCAAGGCTGGTCTCAATCTCCTGACTTTGTGATCCACCCACCTCGGCCTCCCAAAGTGCTTGGGATTACAGGTGTGAGCCACCGTGCCCAGCCAACAACAATGAGTCTTTGCCAATAGCTAAGACCTACTGAAAGTGCCTTTTTGTAAAAAGTTGATCCATTTTTAATGTAAGGCAAGTAGTTCACAATTAAACCTAAGAGGCTAATTTACGATAGATAGATGTGAAGTACCTAAAAAGAAATGAATAGCCAATCTGAACCTATATAATGGCAAAAATTAGAACTAGACTTTCAGAGTCAGAGGGGACCTTAACATCAGGTTGGCCGGTCTGGGCTCGCATCCAATCCAAACCAAGCTTTGCTGAGTGTCCCTTCCCTCTACTTTCTCCTGACTCATTCCCCCCAGGCTAGTTTTCAAGAAGGCAAGTAAAGTAAAGATAAGCAATGAAGGCAAAGGATGGCAACGAAAACGTGCAGTTCAAGGCTTTGAATATGAATTTGTTAACACTAATGAAAAAGGTAGCATCACAGTTCTTAAAATATTGAAATACTTCTCTGCATCCAGAATCAGCACAAAATGCAGAAAAGACCATTGGGAACATGTTCCCTCCTTTAAATGCCACTTAGAAAGCTTCACCACTACTCATAAATGATGAATAAAAGGCCGGGCACAGTGGCTCATGGTGGCTCATGCCTGTAATCCCAGCACTTTGGGAGGCCAAGGTGGGCAGATGCTTGAGGTCAGGAGTTCGAGACCAGCCTGGGAAACATGGTGAAACCTTGTCTCTACTAAAAATACAAAAATTAGCTAGGCGTGGTGGCGCACATCAGCTACTCAGGAGACTGAGGCAGGAAAATCACTTGAACCCGTGAGGTGGAGGTTGCAGTGAGCCGAGATCACACCACTGCACTCCAGCCTGGGTGACAGAGCGAGACTTTGTCTAAAAAACAAAAGGCAGTGATTAAAGATAAGGGAAATTAGGATTTCATGTTCTAATTCAAGGAATTTAAGGCTATTATGCATTTTAAAGTTCTCATGTTTAACCTTCTAACTTTATACTTATTTATTCAAGAAAATCCATAATACCAAGTGTTGGCAAAGATGTGAGGAACTGGAACTGCCAGACACTGCTAGCAGGAGTGGAAACTGGTATAACCACTTTGGAAAACTATTCGACAGTATCTACCAAAACTGAACATATGCCTTACCTATGATCCAGGAGTTCTACTTGTGGGCATAATCCTTTATGTATGGTGCTTACATCCACCAAATATAAAACAATGTACACAGCAGTGCTATGCATAATTACACAAAATTGGAACAACTTCCATGTGCTTCAAGAACAGAATGGGTAAAATAAATTATAACATCTATTCATACCACGGGATGGTACCAGCAATTAAAAAAAAGACACACTGCTACAGAGAACAAGGTTGATTCTTATTATTACAATGTTGAATAAAAGAAGCTGCAAATAAAAGAGTACACAGTGTTGGTCTGGTTTACATGAAGTTCAAAAACAGGCAAAAGTAATCTATGGCATTAGAAGTCAGAATAATGGCTACCTGGGGAGGGGGTACTGACAAAAAGGGTAGAATTGCTCTATATCTCAGTCTGATTGTGGTTACTTGGTTGCATACATATATGAAAACTAATGGAATTGTACTCTTAAGATTTGTGTTTATTTATTGTGTGACAATTATACTTCATTTACAAAAATCTGGAGAGAGATATATAGAAATTTCTGAATTCTTTCCTAAATATGAAAGAATTCAATGCAGCTTAAATACAGTTGCAAGTACTGATGCTTATACCTTCAGAAAGCCCATCATGCTACTGAAAAGTGCACTTATTACTTAATATCACACATAACAGAAAGCTAGCATTTTTATTAATGGAATCTGAAAAACATTTTGCACTACATATTTGAAATCACAGATTTACTAACTAGTAAGTAAATGTTTAGGAACTAAACATGCGTTGTTTTTCCACTCGTTCCCCCTTGATTTGATATATATATATATATATATAATTACTTGTCACAAAAGCTATTGGATACAATTCCTGCACTTGTATATTGCATATGTTTATTTACCACAGAGACTTCAAGTTAGAATCCTAGCATTTCAGAACTGAAGGGGACAGGGACAGACTCCCCTCACTGCACAGACGAGGATGCAGAGGCAGGGGGAGGTATGTGTCAGTCCCAAGGTTGCAGACCTAGGACAGTGTCCCGGGCTCCCAGAACTCTGTCGCCTTCAACCCAAATTCGATTCAATCCTCTAATCTTTCCAAACAGAAAGCTGATGCGAATGGATCGGAAGACTTTTTTTTTTTTTTTTTCAATAACAACTATGCTACCCAGCAGATTGTTTGGGGACAGTCCTCGGAGTCCTTGAAAACCCCATTGGGGTTTAATGTCAGGGTAAAAGAGCGTAGAAGAAAGGGACAGCTAGTATTTTAATATGGAAATCTGTTTGCATAATATTTCCTAGGTAATATGTAAATTTGTTTGTATAACATTTCCTAGGTAAACTATTCGTTGATCCAACTAAAATTCGGCGGGGCTGGGGGGGGTCGTTATTGAGTAAGGATAACTCGCTCTAGGGGACAACGCGGACGCATTTTCCCATCAGAGTCCTCTCCATAAATCAAAATCTCAAAAGAAGAGTAAAAGACGACACCCAGGAGTCTACAGCATCCAGAGGTCGGTCCAGGAGAGGTCCTCGACCACCTGGCGCCGAGCTCGCGGCTGCAGACACCCAGGGACAGCCCGGCACACAAGCGCGCGGGCCGAGCTGCCCCCGACCCGCGCAGCGCCTCGGCAAGGCGGCCTGCGAAGTCCGGGCCGCCACTCGGGACCCCGGCCCAGGCCGGGGGAAACAACGTTGGAGAAGAGGGAAGAGGACGCGGGGTGGGAAAAGCCGGGGCCGCAGGCAAGTAATGGGCGAGTCCGGAGGGCGCGAAAGAGGGGAGGGGCGCAGGAGGCGATGGAAGGAGCGAGCGCAGGGAGGAGCGAGGCGGCTGGGTGGAGGAGGCGGGCACCCTGGTCCTCAGTGCCGGGTGGGGGCTGAGGGGCCGCGAGGGGCTGCGAGCGGGCGAGCGGGGCCTTACCGAGCAGAGGCAGCCGGCCGCCGCCGCGCGCCAACGCTGGCATGGCCTCCGGAGCCCGGGGTCCCCAGGCCGCGTCGGCCCAGCCCTGCGATGCCGCCTGGAGCGGCGCACCCCGCGCTGCAGGTGGCTCTCTTAAGGATGCGCGTCACCGACCGCAAATTCCCTCGGACTGGTGCAAAGTGGAAGGGGGGAGGAGCCCTCTCCCCAGCGGCAGGGGCCCAGACGGGAGCGGAGAGGTTGGGCCGAGCCGAGAAGCCGGTGCCTGGCGCAGTGCTGCAGCCGAACCCACGTGCCCGCTGCTGTCCGCAGCCTGCGCTCGGCGGCCCCCGGGCTCCCTGACTGCGGCGGGGAAGATTGGGCGCGGTCCCGCCAGGGAAGTTGCACGGGCTCCGCGGATCTGCCGCCTTGCTGCCCCTGTGAGTCCCCGAACCTGTCATTTGGATCCGGGGTGTGGGGACTGCAGGGAGCCACAAACCACCCTCCTTGCGCGCTGGGATCTTTGAGGTCCTGGGAAGGGCGCTGAATCCGCGCAGCACTCTGGCGGCTGCCTCCGACGCTCATGGGGTCTCATTCCATTCTCCGTGGATCTTAATTGTGGACTGATTTCCTTTGTCTCTCCCTCTATCTCCTAGGATGCTCAAGACCCAGTCAGCAGCGGGATCAAGAAAAACAGGCTGGGTTTCAATATCAACCAAGGCAATTTGGGAGCCAGCCCTCAAAACAAAACATACAGAAAATGCACCCCAGAGGATGAGGTGAATCATCCGTTCCATAGTTCTTGTTCTTGGCTGCATAGTTTTTAGAGGTGAAAATCATTTTCCTTGCAATAAGTTGAAGATTGGAAAGCTCTGGATGCCAGTTCTGGTTCTTCCCTTACTTACCTGGCCATTTGATCTCCACAAACCACTTGTCCTCGGTTTACTCATCATGAAGCAAAGGGGTAGACCAAATGGTTTATAATATCTCTCCCAATTCTAGGAATTTCATATTCTTAATTATTTTAATCATTTTTAATAAAGCATGAAAATGGACTGTTTAGGCCATACAGTTCGTTTCCTTAGATGTTGTCTACAGTTCAATAATTCTTTCCCCAGGGGTATGGCAGAAACTTTAAAAGTATCTACCGTGGTGCAGCCACTATGGAAAACACTATAGAGCTTTCTCGAAAATTTTACACTGTCACTCAGACTGAAGTGCAATGGCACGATCTCAGCTCACTGCAGCCTTTGCCTCCTGTAATCCCAGCACTTAGGGAGACTGAGGCAGGCAGATCACTTGAGATCAGCCTGGCCAACATGGTGAAACCTTGTCTCTACTAAAAATACAAAATTGTGGGTTTGGTGGCGGGCACCTGTAATCCCAGCTACTCAGGAGGCTGAGACAGGAGAATTGATTGAACCCAGAAGGTGGAGGTTGCAGTGAGCCTAGATGAAGCCATTGCACTCCAGCCTGGGTGACACAGCCAGACACCATCTCAAAATAAATAAATAAATTAGTTAATTAATTAAAAAATTCCAGACCCTAAGAAATTTCATAGAACAAATAACTTGTTTTCGTTAACCAAAATTTGTAAGAAAATAAATGAGAGGGAACCTATAGATTAAAATAAATCTAAGAGATACATTAAGGCCATTACAATATCAAGCAATTGTAATGTGCAATGTAAAGATGTTATTTGGATGCTGATTCAAGTAACCTGAAAAATAGATATAAAATAACTGGGAAAATGTGATCACTGGTTTTAACTGTTATACTATTTTATAAAAAATTACATGTGTGATGATAACATTGTTATGTATTTTTAAAATAGTTCCTATCTTTCCAGAGGTGCACATGAAATAGTTACAGATACAATGATATGAAATGGGAAGGTTGAGGGGAAATAGGGAGTGACAGTTAAAGGGAACAGCGTTTCTTTTTTGGGATGATGAAACTATTCTAAAATTAGATTATGGTAAAGGTTGCTCAACTCTGTAAATACACTAAAAACTATTGAATTGGCCAGGCTCAGTAGCTCATGCTTGTAATCCCAGCACTTTGGGAGGCCAAGGTGGGCAAATCACATGGTCAGGAGTTCGAGACCAGCCTAGCCAACACAGTGAAACCCTGTCTCTACTAAAAATACAAAAATTAAGGCCAAGCATAGTGGCTCATGCCTGTAATCCAAGTACTTTGGAGGCCAAGGTGGGTGGATCACCTGAGGTCGGCAGTTCAGACCAGCCTGACCAACATGGTGAAACCCCGTCTTTAAAAAAAAAAAAAAAAAAAAAATGAGCCGGGAGTGGTGGCAGGCACCTGTAATCCCAGCTACTTGAGAGGCTGAGGCAAGAGAATCGCTTGAATCCAGGAGGCAGAGGTTGTGGTGAGCCAAGATCACGCCACTGCACTCCAGCCTGGGTGACAGAGCTAGACTCCATCTCAAAAGAAAAGCAAAACAAAACATTGAACTGTACACTAAATAGGCAAACTATAGACATGTAAATTAAATCTCATTGAAGCTGTAAAATATGATATAAAGTCAGAGATTGTCTTCAAAATCATCTGATGTGCAGGATTTGAGTGGAGGAATTAAAATTAACCGTGTGTCACCAGTAGTCGCACCTGAGCCACAGTCATATAAGTTCATTATACTTTTCTTAGACATTTTCTATAATAAAAAGGTTTTGAATAAAAAAAGACTGAAATATTGGACAAATTAAATTATCCTGAATGTGTGGAAGATGACTAGCCCCACTTAGAACTCATGAGCTGTTTTCTTTTTTTTTGAGACAGAGTTTCACTCTTGTTGCCCAGGCTGGAGTGCAATGGCAAAATCTCTGCTCACTGCAACCTCCACCTCCCGGGTTCAAGCAATTCTCCTGCCTCAGCCTCCCAAGTAGCTGGGATTACAGGAATGTGCCACCATGCCCAGCTAATTTTGTATTTTTAGTAGAGATGGGGTTTCACCATGTTGGTCAGGCTGGTCTCGAACTCCCAACCTCAGGTGATCCACCTGCCTCAGCCTCCCAAAGTGCTGGGATTACAGGTGTGAGCCACAGTGTCTGGCCATGAGCTGCTCTTTACTGTCTTTTTATTGACCCACCTAAATGGGATGAACAATAGCAGAATCCTGGAGTCCGTTTCCACTATGCAAACTTGATGGCACACAGGTAAACTGCAAAACTCCAACACAATTTTGTGATAATTGATCGTTCTTCCTCTATGTCTAAGATGCTTTCAAAATAATCATCTCCTTAGAATTCTTGGCAACAAGGTGGGGCGCTGTGGCTCACGCCTGTAATCCCAGCACTTTGGGAGGCCGAGGCAGGCAGATCACCTGCGGTTGGGAGTTCGAGACTAGCCTGACTAACATGGAGGAAACCCCGTCTCTACTAAAAATACAAAACTAGCTGGGCATCATTGTGGCCTCCTGTAATCACAGCTACTTGGGAGGCTGAGGTAGGAGAATCACTTGAACCCAGGAGGCAGAGGTTGCAGTGAACCAAGATCACTACATTGTACTCCAGCCTAGGCAACAAGAGTGAACTCCATTTAAAAAAAAAAAAAAAAAGAATTATTGGCAACAGATAATGTATTAGTTTGCTGGGGCTGCCATAACAAAGTACTACAAACTGGGGGTTGGGGTGGAGTTAAACAAGAGAACTTGATTGTCTCACAGTTCTGGAGGCTAGAAGTCCCAGATCCATGTGTTGGCAAGGTTGGTTATTTTTTATCGTTTATATTTTGAGACAGAGTCTTGCTCTGTCGCTAGGTGCCAGGCTGGAGTGTAATGGCGCGATCTCGGCTCACCGCAACCTCCGCCTCCCAGGTTCAAGCAATTCTCCTGCCTCAGCCTCCAAGGTAGCTGGGACTACAGGTACGCGCCACCATGCCCAGCTAATTTTTGTATTTTTAGTAGAGACGGGGTTTCACCATGTTGGCCAGGATGGTCTAAATCTCTTGACCTCATGATCCACCTGCCTCGGCCTCCCAAAGTGCTGGAATGACAGGCGTGAGCCACCGCGCCCAGCTAAGGTTGGTTTTTTCTAAGGGCTGTCTTGGAGAATCTGTTCTAAGCCTTGTACTGGGTTCCGGTGGTTTGCAGGCAATCTCTGGTGCTCCTTGGCTTCTGCTACATCACCCTGACCTCTGCCTTCAAGTTAAAGTGGCAGTCTCCCTGTGTGCGTGTATGTCTAGCACTGTGTTTGAATTTGCCCCTTTCATAAGGATATTGGTCATATTGGATGGGACCCACCGGTGACCTCATTGTAACTTGATAACCTCTGTAAAGAGCCCATCTCCAAATAAGGTCACATTCTGAGGAACAGGGGGTTAGGACCTCAAAAATATCTTTTTTAGGGGGACACAATTCAGCCCTTAATGTATAGATTTCAAAATCAATAGAAATTAATTCATTTGCTTCATCTATAGTCATTAATTGATATATTAAGTAGATTTCAGTTAATATTTTACTTTTACAAAAAATATTTAGCATGGGTAACTTTTAGAAGTTAACACAAAAATGGGAGCTGTTGAAAAATATGCTTTCAAAGAGTTTAAGGTTAAAAAAGGGTAAAAACTATATAACATGACAGTCGCTAAATTTTTAGAAGTTATGTGTATGCCTACTCAAATAACCAGAAGACAATACACCAAAATGCAAATTGGTCATCTCTGGCTCATGGCCTTAGGAGTGAGATGGAACTGATTTCTCCATTAGAAATCTAAGGCTCAGAGCTGTTAGGTGACCTACCTAAAGTCTCAGAGCCAGTAAGAAGCTGAATGTGATTAGAATTCAAATTGGCTTATATCCAAAACCTTTGTTTTCAACCATTATGGCGCAGAATAACAATTGCCACCACTTGAGTTCCTAAAATGTGCCAAACGTTACAATCCTTGTTTCACTTAATACTAACAACAATCCCATAGGTTAGGTATTTTTTCTATTCCAAAGAAGTCTAATAGCAACCTAAATTTTGAAGCAGGGAGAGATGGATGATTCAGAAAGCCAAAAGAAGCCGGGTGAGGTGGCTCACGCCTATAGTCCCAGCACTTTGGGAGGCTGAGGTGGGTGGATCGTGAGGTCAGGAGGAGATTGAAACCATCCTGGCCAACATGGTGAAACCCTGTCTCTACTAAAAATACAAAATTAGTCTGGTATGGTGACACATGCCTGTAATCCCCGCTACTTGGGAAGCTGGGGCAGGAAAATCGCTTGAACCCAGGAAGCGGAGGTTGCAGTGAGCTGAGATCATGTCATTGCAATCCAGCCTGGGCAACAAGAGCGAAACTCCGTCTCAAAAAAGAAGAAAAGGAAAAGGTAGGCAGGAGTGGTGGCTCACGCCTATAATCCCAGTACTTTGGGAGGCCGAGGTAGAGTGGATCACCTGAGGTTGGGAGTCCAAGACCAGCTTGGCCAACATGGTGAAACCCCGTCTCTACCAAAGATACAAAATTAGCCAGGCATGGTGGCACATGCCTGTAGTCCCAGCTACTGAGGAGGCTGAGGCAGAAGAATCACTTGAATCTGGGAGGCGGAGGTTGTTGTGAGCCAAGATTGGACTATTGCACTTCAGCCTGGGCAACAAGAACAAAACTCCGTCTCAAAAAAGAAAAAAAAATAACGTGGTGCACACCTGTAGTCTCAGCTACTTGGGAGGCTGAGGCACGAGAATCGCTTGAACCTGGGAGGCAGAGGCTGCAGTGAGCCAAGATGGTGCCACTGCACTCCAGCCTGGGTGAAAGCAAGATTCCATCTCAAAAAGAAAAAAAAGAAAAGAAATATTCTTTTTATAGAATAAGTATACATGTCAAATGCAAAAAAAGAAAAAAGTTAGAAAGTATCCATAGGCACACTCACACTACCTGTACCAACTGGTAACCATTTACACTTTGATGCCAGTCGATATAGTTTTTTCTCTAAGTGTATAGTTATACATAGATCTAGACATATATTTTTAAAATAGAATTATCATATACATGCGCCTTTTTTTCTTAAAAAAAAATTGACCCGGGGTGGTGGCTCACCCTTGTAATACCAGCAGTTTGGGAGGCCAAGTCCAGTGGATCGCTTGAGGTCCGCAGTTTGAGACCAGCCTGGCCAACATGGTGAAACCCCATCGCTACTAAAAATACAAAAATTAGCTGGGCGTGGTGGCAGGTGCCTATAATCCCAGCTACTCGGGAGGCTGAGGCAGTAGTGAGCCAAGATTGGGCCATTGCACTCCAGCCTGGGCAAAGAAGCAAGATTCCATCTCAAAAAAAAATATATATATATATACAGTCCATGCTGATTATGCCACAACATTGCTGTTAAGTTACTCATTCCGTGATACTAATGAATCATAATTTATAGAACCAATACATGTTGTTAGACATTTTATAGGTATCTTTGTTTTTGATTGTGTTTTTAAGACGGAGTCTTGCTCAGTCACCCAGGCTGGAGTGCAATGGCGTGATCTTGGCTCACAGCAACCTCTGCCTCCCG